GGGGGCCGCGGTGGCGGCGGCGGCTTCCTGGGGCCGCGGGTGCCGGCCGAGGTGGAGGCCATGGCCCGGGGCGTGCAGGACGTGGGGCAGGAGACCTTCCGGCGGCTCCTCAAAGGTAGGGCCCGAGCGTGGCCTGTCCTCGGCACGCCGCCGGGGCTCGCCCTGCCCCGGGGCCCTCGCTGCCCCGCCGCGGAGGGACGGGAGGGATTTCCCGGCCAGACCCGACGGGCGGGCGCCGCCTTCCTCGAGGAAGGCAAGGGCAGCCGGAGGGGGCCTGCTCCGCTCTGCCGCGCCTGGGCAGGGCCGCAGCTCTCCCGGGACGCTTCCCCTTGCTTTTCCCGGCGGGAAGCTAAAGCTGAGGGTTAAATACAACGGCGGGTTTCCTTGGTTGTATTCTAAAACGCTGTAAAACCTGTGAGAATGGGGTACGGACTTTTGCAGCTGTGCGCGGCCCCCGGACTGACACTGAGCGCTGTGAAAGTCATTCCTCCCTCATCCCAGAGCCAGCGGTCAAGTCGCTGTCAGGGCATGTGAAAGTCAGAGACCCCACGGGTGTTTTCATAACGTGCAGGAGAAAATAAAGGAACCTCAAAGTGCAGGTGTCTTACTGAAGGCGGGGCTGTAAGACTGAACACGATTGATTTGATTTTTGCTTGGGAGGCTTCTCACGGCACCTTTGACCGCCAAAATCGGAGTTACTCAGTTGAGTAAATTATTGTATGCGAAATAATCACAGAGTAATCAAACAGAAAAGTTGATTAGCGGGGTGAAAGCACGGCTTGTTTGTGGCTAGCTGAGAGGGGACCGACTGCTGCACAGCACGGCGTAGTGCTGCAATCCTTAACGTGCTCGTTCTCTCAGCTAACTTCCTTTCAGGCTTTTTTCTTGACTTGAGCCAGTAAGGACTCAAAGCATCTGGTAGCTGGTTTGTCCTTAAAATTGTTGCTGCACAGTGTCAAAAAATGGAGCGATGTATCCAGGGTTGCCTTATAATAATTGAAAATAATAAAGCTACGTATAGGCAGAGGCATTTGGGACAAAAGTCAATACAGATGTTGAACCATATTTGCTGTCTAGTGCAGGAACAACGGAGACTGAAAAGTCATATCAGTGTCAGGAAGCCTGGCGGTCTCCTAAACCCCATCTGGGTTTAATTCCGGTGTAAATTACCGCCTGCATTTAGGTGTACAATAAATGCTTCCTACCGTAGGGGGAGCAAACAGCCCTTCGAAAGCCTCTGCAGCCAGGGCAGGTGCCTGCCGCGCTGATTCACCCAAGTGCCCGCGTCCGCCAGCGGATGGAGACAGCGTCCAGGTGATGCAGAGCTGGCAGAAATCTCCCGTCGTCTTCTGCTCTTGCTGGTCTGTGATTAACAGTTTGCAGGACAGCGGTTTTTCCTTTGAAGGTTCAGTAGTCTCTGAAGACATGACGGATTTCAGCAGAGTGTATCTAAATTGCTCTGGCACTTGCACCAAGTTAGTTTTTTGAGGCTGTCGCTGTTACTCTGTTGCTAAATAATATAAAAACCCAGGTACTGCTTCATATGCCTGCTCAGTTCACAATGTAAAAACTGCATATACCATTGTCACAGGGTTATCCAGCCAGTGTTATTGCAGGCTCTGCTAAACTGCAGGTGTAAGTTTGAGACCGCAGGC